GCAAAGTGGTCAAACTTTTTTTTTTTGTTGTTTTTCTTTTTTATTTAAAATATCATTATAACCAATTGACATACTAGATAACAATGTATACATTCCAGTGGTGCACATGTAATGACCTATGGCATGAACGAGTAAAAAAACCACGATGTTCTCAGTAATGCCCCACCAACAGCTTATTTGGAGGGAATAAAGGAAAAGGAGGAAAAGGTATCAAATGTGGGGAAGAAAAAAAATTACAGTTTTCCCCAGTATTTCTAATGGTGTATCTTCCCCTTCATATTTCTTGGGACAAAATAAAATTAAGAATACACTTCAAAAGGGGCAGAAGGAATGATCACAATAATTAGGGTTTTTTTCTCAACTTTAGTAATAAAAGTTAAAGAACTCTCAAAAATAGACTAGATATTGGGCCTACAAAAGTAATTCATCTGTATGCAAAGCTTACCAAGAATTATTCCTTTTGTAAAATGTAAAGGATGAGCTGACATTACTAGTAAGCTATTTTTACCTACAAAACCAGACTACAATAATAAAATCACCAATTTACAGCTAACACAATATTCTAGATGTACATTATTGTACACAAGCTATATATTACACATGAACATCTTACGTGAAATAGAGAAGAAACAGACTTACTGAGCTTGTCTCAACATTGGCCAATAGGTTTATTTTTCTAAAGGAAGTGTATTTTTCTATTCACATTCAGTGTAGTTCCAATAGCAAGGGTTCCCTTTGCTGACTTAAGAAACGTAGAAAGTTAGTGTGAGGTAGTTCAAGAAAACTGAGCTTGAATTTTGAACTGCAGAAGTAGAAACACAAGGTGATGGGCTTGGTAACGTGTTTCTGTAACGCAGAGATCGGTAACTAACGGAGAGGAGACGGGAGTGAAAGCCACCACTTAAAACACCACTTGTATCCAGTGCCCTTAACTAAGAATAAATTAAATGAACTGAAAATCTGGGCAGGCGGTAGAGTCCCAGCACATTTCTTCATTAAAACCCCTCTTTCTAATCCTACTGAAAAACACAGAGGGCTCCCCTTCCACTCCGGGCCTCAAACCAAACAGGGAAGGACCAAAACACCATGAGGAAAATGAACTATACCAGCCTGGACAAGCTGCCTCCAACAGCAAATCAAACCCCATCTACAGAGCCATTCACGTCCTTCAGCAGCTGGAAACAGTCAGAGTGAGATGAACTTTCACCTTCCCTTTCCCCACAAGATTAATTGAGAAACATTTAATGCGCTCTGGATTATGGGCCAGGTGAGAACCATCCCCCTGCCCTGGCTTTTTGGGTCGTTTTCCTTTTTGCAGAGGTGAGACAAACCCCATGGACATTAACCCAGAGCCCTGCACTTGTGCAAACGCCCCACAGGGTGCTTCATTTTTGCTCTCTAACGAAACAGCCCGTGTTCAGAGAAGCAATTTTCCACAAAATCCACATCAGTAACTCTACTCACATGGCCAGAGGCAGCAGAGGGTGCTATTGCCACGACCACCTCAGACTCCTCACTTGGCCAGAGGCAGCAGAGGGTGCTATTGCCACGACCGCCTCAGATACAGCTCCCGCATCCCCACTGGATTCCCACCTGCCTGTGGGCAGAGGGGGCTTTACCCAACAATTTCTGCTCCCATCACCTTGGTATCGAGCCACAATTCCTGCCCAGACACTGCTGTGCACAGCACACTGAGGGGCTTCCAAAGGACCCCCGTACAGCAGCCTCCCAGGGACGTGTCAGCTCAGCCTGGCAGAACCACCACCCTTGGGGTGACCCTGTCCCCAGGCTGTTGGTGTGATGGGTGCTGCTTGGGAGCCCAGCTCCTCACCCCCCCACACACAAAAACCTCAATTCTCACCCCGTTGTCATCCATCAACCACCAGGTCCACAGAGCAGGGCCAGCACCCAGCAACGGTACCGATTCCCCCCCAATTCTACTGCAAACTCCTAACGAACCTCCTTCTACAACAGCAGAACCATTTTATCCCTGACCCTGCCACAGCTCCAACCACAGAAGGTGCCAATTAACCTCCTCGTTACCACCCAACTTCTCACCTCACTCCCCTGACACATCACACAGGTCCCTGCAAGTCAGTCCCCACCAACACCCTGGACTGCAACGGCCCTGGGAGAGGAAAAGCTGCACGTGCTTCATCGTAAGATTCTGGAATCACAGAGTAAAATAAAACTTAATACTACTTTAAGTTAAATAAAATTGTACAGTGTAGATACTATAGGATCTAATACTGTAACACCAGCCAGCTGGACCATAGTCACCCGGCTGTTTGCGCTCAGTGGCGGTGTACAACTGTATCTGAAATAATTTTCTATTTCAACAAATAAAAAGGGAAGTTAAGACTCACACGTTGTTGGGATAATTTGGTTACTGAAGCTGATTTTCTCATCTTGAAATTTGCCATCACTTTTTAATTTGCCTAAAATGCAAGCAGTTGCAACAAAAAGAACAGAAAAAGGCAGCAGCTCTGCAGGCGGTGCCAGAAGTGCCCTCGGGGTTGGCAGGGGCAAAGCTCCCACCCCACTGACACCCCCCATTAACACCACCTTCATCAAGAGCAGCCCATGCTGCTGCCCTCAATATTCATTTTAAAAGTAATTTTTTCTTTAGGACACTGGGAAGTGATAATAAAAATTATTTCAAAATATTCCAATCACCACCACAACCCAGAGGGGCACAAAATACATTTAAATAGGAATTCTATTTACCAAATTCTGTTGCTACCAGCACTTACAGGCACGAGGAGCTCATCCTGTCAGTCTTAACTTCAGTGCACTCTGGGGACCAGAATATCATCTGACCCGACCCAACAGGGAGTTCTGGTGTACGACCAACAATCCAGGCTCAATTCACAGCTTAAACTTTGATAAAAAAAATTAGAAGATAGACTGTTCTAGAAAACAGAAAAAAGAACAGTTGGTCTCTGTTCAACTGGAGCAGATTTTTTATGTTCCAGTGCCAGATGAATCCAAACGTGTCCTGCCTCCTCGGAGGTAACACGCAGTTTGGTGGGATCCTGTACAAATAATTGCCTTAACAAACGTGGTTTAGAAAGGCAATGTGGAAATATTAAATACGAGGGAGGAAAGGGAAAGGAGACACCCACAGCACTTACCAGAGTCCGGCCAGGCCAGGGAACAACCGGGCACTTTATCAATTTAGTCCCTTTGAGACATTACCATTCCTTGTCACCCTGCATGTTTTTTAAAGAGACACGTCAGACAGCGAAAGCAAAGATTTTCTGCAATGACAAATTTTCTTTTCCTCTTTCCATTAGAACTTCAAAAAGACACTTATTAAACCCAAGGAGCAGAAGGAACCACACTGAAGAGCATCGGCCAGCCCCGATGACCTCTGGAGCCAGCTCGATGATTTACTCGTGCTCTGTGCCTGGCAAGGCTTCTGCACTCGTTAATGCTCATTTCTGTGAGCCTCACTGATTTAAATTCCTCTTCACATTCTAATTCACTACACAAAATATGCATCTACACAAGGCAATCAATTATACAGCCTAGCTTCACTAAAAATCTGCATTTTCCAAAGGAATAAATTCTGAACGATTGTTTAACTCATACATAAACTTAAGTCAGTTATACATAAATCATTCTGTAAATATAAAATGTAAACAGTTAAAATACTTCTGTGAGGAGCAGCACCATTTCACATGACTATTTAGTAACTGTTCTATATATTTCAATATATCTTTTGTTTAAAAAGTGTATTGAAACCTGGAGCTTCAGTGCTGAAAACTGTGCTGAATATTTATGACTTAAAATGAACCATTATTAAGATTTCTGCTACACTGGTCTCGTGGTGAAATGAAAGAGATAAATATTAATTTATACGGCACTATTTCTCCCTCCTTTGGATGGCAGATATTGCTCGCTTAATGCTTTAGCTACAGAAATCCTGAGGTTCTCCTACCGCTTCATGGTTTTTAGCGATCAGTTACTTTTGGTGGAGAAATAGGTGAAGTTTTGCCCCTATTGCATTCACGTCATCCCCTCTTCTGCCCAAAAAAGCACTCGCCTTAGTACACAAAAACGAGTAAAGAAACAAAACTCCCAAGAATCAGGTATTACAGGAAAAGTACAGCTACAGCAGATTCGCTTTCCCTCTTGGCAGCCTCCACATCCTGGAAACACTCGGTTTCGTGTGTACAAAAACAGGCTACAAGCTAGAAGTAAACAGTTTATTTGCATGGCAATGCATTATTCATGAAGTACCCTCGCGTTTTATGGCGATCACAAGGTTTGGCAGGTCACAGCGCTGCAGAAAGCGCGGCGCTAGTTCGTGGGGCTGGAGATGGCTGCAGCTTTGAAGATACGCTCTGCTTTGAGTTCATAAAACCCTCCAGGATGAGGTTACTTTGCAAAGGATTGTAGACTGTTTCTCTAAAAAAAAAATATATATATATAAATATCACTCATCGTTGCTTTTTGCTGAAGTATTACAGGCAAGTGGCCAAAAGAAAAGAGGATTTTGTTGAGTGCCAGCAGCACAGCAGTGTGCCCAAAAACTCCCCAGAGCCAGCTGCACTCATTCTCTCCCCCTCCACCTGGACACGGACGTATGACCGAGCATAAAACTTGGAAGGATATCATGAACAAAACATCTGGAATAAATTCTAATTTAAAAAAAAACAACAAACAAATAATTGAAAACCTAGAAAATCTTAAATAATTCATTCTATGGTAATGACCACAACATTAATATGTGCTTCGATAAAACAAATCTTACAAATTCAGTAAAAAAAGATCAGCAGCATAATAGTAAAGCAAATATGCAGATTTTAAAACCACAATAAAAATTATCAGGTTTAATATTTTACAGGTAATTACAGCAAAAAAAGTGGCTGCTTTTAACACAACTTACAGTTTAAAATTACAGCACTTTATGATGAATTCTACCATTATTTTTGAAAAAACACTCAAAAATACCACCAAATTTTAAAGGTGCCCTATTCTTAAAAAAAAACAACAAACAAATAATTGAAAACCTAGAAAATCTTAAATAATTCATTCTATGGTAATGACCACAACATTAATATGTGCTTCGATAAAACAAATCTTACAAATTCAGTAAAAAAAGATCAGCAGCATAATAGTAAAGCAAATATGCAGATTTTAAAACCACAATAAAAATTATCAGGTTTAATATTTTACAGGTAATTACAGCAAAAAAAGTGGCTGCTTTTAACACAACTTACAGTTTAAAATTACAGCACTTTATGATGAATTCTACCATTATTTTTGAAAAAACACTCAAAAATACCACCAAATTTTAAAGGTGCCCTATTCATGACTAAAAGGCCCCCCCTCCCACCCCCCAAAAGCCCAAGTAGTCATCTACAGCAGCCCAGTGGGCCCGCGGAGGTCTCCAGGCTGCTGTCTGTATCGGAGGCCAATGTTGGATCCGTGGACATGGAAGAGACGTCGTTGACGGATGAGGATGAGGATGGGTGCTGAGAGCCATTGATCATTGCTGCACCTGTGCTATGAGAAACAAAACAGCAAATCAGTTGCAGACACGGTCGCAGGGTTCGGTCCTTGCTTTACTCTGTCTCTTCCTAAAAGTCACCCCTTTCCCCTCTGCCGGCAAGTCTGAGGAGACGTGTCTCCATCCACCACCAAAGCCAATTAAACACACAGGTATTTAATGTGGGGATTAATGAAGGGTACGTCAAGAATCACAGAACTCACGTGGTCAAACCACAAATCACCAGGTTTGGCCCTGGTCAAGTGACAGCAAGTGCTAATGGCTGAAGGGTAAAAATCCCAAACACCCTACAAAACCTTGAGACCCAAAGCTTGACTACATCTACATGTTTTGATAAAGAAAGAAGGGGTTTGGGGTTTTTTGGTGCCCATCAGATCCCTCCTCTCCAGGCTGGGAAACAGCCGGTGTCCAGCTGGGAAATCAAATCCCTTCAATCTCAGAAACAGAGATTTCTCAGAGTCTGGACACAGCACCAGCAACAACCCACTACCCTTTTTCAGGAGCACAGAGGGAGCCCCATCAACAGTCAGGTAACGGGCACATTTTGCTCCAGAATTCAGCAATGGTTTCTGAAAGCATTCCAGAATCTTCCAGAAATCCTCTTTTGTTCCTCAGTAAATGGGAGCAGTGGTTGAATTTTTCACTGAAAGGGTACCAGCTACACGTCACACCTCTAACCAGGTTACGGCAACAGGTACCGGTACACACCAACGTGGTTCTTGAGGACTGACATGAATGAAGTTACACAGGGACAATAACAAAGGAATTTGCCAGATTAATAAAAAGAGATGTCACCCCCAAATATTCCATTCAAATAAGCAACACCTCCAAGAGAATTCCAGAGGTTATTGGTCATTTAAGAGCCGTATGTTTGAGTTAGGTTACTCTTGGATGTCTTGAAGAGCTTTATTCCCTCCTGACCTACAACTCAACGTCACTCTGGCTCCGTGCTTTTATTGTAACCAACCTAAAGGGGCTGGCTGGCCACGTATAACCCCGTTCTTGGTTCTCTCCTCCAGGTCCATGACTTCCTTGTATATCAACTCTGAAAACGCAGAGAAGGGAAGGCAAACAATGAATGTGCAAACCCCAACCTAAAGGGGCTGGCTGGCCACGTATAACCCCGTTCTTGGTTCTCTCCTCCAGGTCCATGACTTCCTTGTATATCAACTCTGAAAACGCAGAGAAGGGAAGGCAAACAATGAATGTGCGAACCCAAGATGGGATCAATAACACATCTCCTGTTAGAATCTATTACTGTTCAGAATTAGAATCACAGAATTTCCCTGGTTGGAAGGGACCTTTGAGACCATCTAGTCCAACCATCAATCTAAATCTGATCAAAACCATCACTAAACCATGTCTCAAAGCACTATGTAACCCATCTTTGAAATCCCTCCAGGGATGGTGCCTCAACCCCTTCCCCGGGCAGCCCATTCCAAGGCTTAATAACCCTTTCAGTGTAAAAATTAGTTTTGAGAACGGGCTGTAGGCTACAGAGCAACTGGATATAAACATGTACAGTTCCTTTCTGCTGGAGCTACAACCTTCTGGCTCTCTAGAACACACTGACATTGCCCCAAGACTCTCTGGTCCAGGCTCCTTGGGGACCAGAGGTTAAACTGAGTCTGAATGACCACTCAGTTTTTATCAATGGCTTCTTTAGTAGAGATAAACTCAACCCACAGTTGTCAAAGGACCAGGCCCCGAGAGCACTGCCATCCTCCCAACACACATTTGCCACTAAATTTCCTCAGCAACAACATCTAAAGGTCCCAGATCACCATGAAATGTGATACAATATTGGCATTAAGCAGCCACTCCAAATGAAAGTAGCAACTTTATCTTCCAGTTACAGAAGTTCCTCGTCCTTAAACAGCTTGGGAGGGCTTGGGACACGAACGAATCACACACCCTGGGTACCACCCAGAAGGTTCCTAAGACTAATGGCAGCTTCTTACCCAGAAAAGACGTCAGATGTGAATCTACACAAGTAACAACAGAAGAAAAGGACTAAACATGTTAAATGCAACTCATAAGAACTGTCAGAATATTACCCCTTATCTGCCTCCGGAAAACCACTGCAATGTACAAACAGGGTGGAAGAAAAAAAGCGTTTAAGAATTATAACTTCAAGGGCTGTGGGAGTCTCAGAAGTAAACTCCTTATCACTGGAAATACCCTCAGCACATCCGCTTCCAAAGGGAAATAATTTTTGCTTGGAAAGAGGACAAAAGAATTTCCCCAATTCTCCCTGTCTCTGCCTTTACAAACTCAGTTTCTAATAGAAAGCAATTTAAATGTGTTTAGATTCTACTGACTTGTGTCCATTACCAGCCAACACAACAAAAATGTCAGAAATGATTCATGAAACATTTTCCCAGCTTTTTTTCCCCGGGGATAAAAAGATTACACCGTATAAGTCTGATGTCCTACCACGATCCGTTCCACACCTCAATCCCCACCACCTTCCCAGGATCCTGTGGCTGAAAACCATCAGGGTCCCCCCCACCGGCTGTGACCTCCTGTCTCACCCAGTACTAACACTCCTTACGGCTTCTGCTCTCACATCCTCTGCTTGATTTACAAGATTTAAGAGTAGAGCTAATATGCTTTTCACTTGCAGACTAGTGCTTCTGCTTCACACGTGCACTGCTCAAGCTCCCTGCATCTTTTTCAGCTGGAGCAGTTTGTCCAGAAGAGTTTCCCTCCCTGAAAACGCCGCCTGATGGTTTGCAAAAGGTGACTGAAATGAGCAGCTCAAGTTCACTACAAACATTCAGCAGGAAGATTTCTAGTGTCCCAACAGCCAAGATGTTGAGAAGCTCTATTCCCCTGCTCTGTGCCCCTGCCAACCCCAGCAGTTTAAGGGAATACTATTAGGTTGCTCAGAAGAACTTTAAGAACAGCAATCATTATGACCCAGCCTATTCCCAAAAGCCTTATTGAACTTAAAACGCCCTCCTTACCTTTCCATTCCTCTATCGTGTGCTCCCTCTCATCTAACTGCTTATCTGGTATCTTTGGTGGAGGCTGGAAAACAAAACCAACTCATGAAACAGCAATCCAAAGGGATACAAAACCAGACGAAATCAAAAATGAAAGTAAGCACTCAGAACACGAACCCGATTTTTAAATACTCTATTTAGATGGTCAAATATTCTCTCATTCTTCAACTTGGCCTATTTTTTAGATGCTGCTACAGGTTTAAAGCTACTTCTTTGCTTACATTACTGTAATAATTACAAATAGAAACTGAAGAGTCTGGTAAAAGAGCTCCTAAGTGCAGCAGTTCCTAAGCCTAAGAAGCTCTTTTTACCTACTTACTGTTAATTACTAAATTTTCCCCTGTAGCTATTATAGACCAGCAAAAATTCTAGTTGCACCATTTACATCAAGCATCTTTTCCTATTCTTAGTGGCTTACCATCAATCACCTTTCTTTTTTAAAAAATTACACTTTTCTCATAAACTGAAATTATCTTGAAATTAATTTTTTTAAAAAAAATTTCACTTAATCTCTTTTGTTGACTAATGTTAATAATTGAAAGCTCAATATCTCATACTCAGATTTTCCTGACACACGTATTTTCTAGTTTAAGAGTACCATCAATTGGTGTAACTGATGAAAATCTCTCTCTCACCTGGAAGTAAATACCTGGCAATCCTGTAACAGACAATCAAACTGCACTGAAACAACTGAAGTTTGATAAATCAGAGCCTTATGTAGAAGATTTCAGATGCATTACTACGTGTCCAGGAGACTGTATGCAATTACACACCAACACACACAGATACAGGTACTTCAGTGTGTGCCCATTCCTCATGTTACTTCTGCCAAACATATCTACTGATGTCAATAAAAGTGATTATGGTTCAGTTAAGCTTGTAGTGAAACATGTAGATCGTGGAATAATCTTGTTCCTGGCAATGACACTGAGCCCCACAGGTTTGCTTTGGTGCGGTACCTTCCTACCTGGAGCCCCAGAACAAGAACTTACAGCTTCTGCTTCTGATGGGTCATACCAGACGTTGATGTACGGGTGCTGCAGGGCTTCATCCACAGAGATTCTTTTAGAAGCGTCTATAACCAGCATTTTTGATAACAAATCCCTGGCTTGACTTGCTGCAAAAGGGGAATTTTCTGTTTAGACTAGTGCCACACACGGTGCTCCTAACACAGCATTTCAAAGCTCGTAAGAAGAGGAGACCCAGAGCAAACAAATTCCAGTTTAATCTCTCTGCAACCCTCATGTGATGTGGGTCCATTTGGTGGGGGGGGGAAAAAAAAGGAAGATAACAACATGGGTGGGAAAGGGGCTGGACATGTCTCACTGTGTATTTTCAGGACACACTGATCCCTGGTGTGACACCCCCACGTGAAATACAGCTCTACAGCCTTCTCCAGAACAGCAGCAGGCAAGGACCTCCTGCCCCCCTTAACAGTTTATGGGGATAAAACTGCCACAGGCTGTTAGTCACAGAAAATACGGTGACTCCACTGAGCAGGTGACTATTAGAACCAGTAAGTTATTTCAGTAACTACAGGGTATCTATGTATTATTAATATAAACCCTTTAGTTTCATCCCTAGAGAAAGACGATCTGCTCTGCCCACACACCCTCCACTCCACCCTCCCCCTACTCCTCTCTAAATCATGTTGGCCTCTGGCATCGAGAGGAATATTTATATATTTATTTTTCTTTATAAAGGTAACTCCAGAACAGGAGCTGTTTCAGAGAATATGAGAGAGTGGGGGTAATCATACACCAGCACCTTCATCCACTCCCATGATATAAACACCATAATATTTAAACCCTCAGAGGGATGATTTTGCAGTGAACAAACCCAAGACAGATTTCTGTTCAATACATCACAGTCTCAAAATTTTCAAAATACACAACACACAGAAGACAGACCTTACCTTTAAGCTTATTGTGTTCAGAGTCAGCTGGGAAAAGGACGTCTGGGAAGAGTTTTTCAAAGCTGTATCCAGCATATTTAGGTCTGTTCTCCACGTAAGTCCGGACCGTGGGCTGTAATTTCTTCATGAATTCGGGGCAGGGGGTTCCTAGCTGCTCTATGACTTTATTCCATTGATCAATATCTAAGGTTACGCAGCTAAGAAAAACACCGTGTCTAATTTTCAGCCAGAAAGGTTACGTTAAAACCAGATGAAATAAGCAACAGAGAAAAAACACAGAAAATGGTAATAAAATACCAAGTTCATCGCCATTAATTAGGACCACCTCCTTAGGGAAAACCGTGAAACAAAGCAAGACTATGATAGCATAGTCAAGGCAACACGTATTTCACTCAAAATCATAATTAACTGGCAAAGGATATACTTCTGAGGAACAGAGAAAATTAAAGAGACTCACAAAACGTATTAAATTAATTTAAATAAAGACATTGTCTGGGCTCTGGAGAAGAACTCACCTCCTGACCTGAACACGTGTTGACAGAGGGGACACGAAGGATGAGAACTGGGGCCAGTGGCAGTTTTGGACACAGAAGTTAAAGAGTTTCAAGGACGCGCAAGGAACTTCTTAACTGAAAAGTTTATGCAAGTAAAGGGGAGATTGGATTGACCGGTTCATGGCAGGAGAATTTAAAACATGTTACTGCATAAAAAAAGGGAACATTTGGCTCAGGAAGTCCCAGTTGCAGATGGTTTGATACTGGGAGAGAGCTCAGATAAAGTTTTATACACACTTTGCTCATTCCTGTGTTCTCCCTGACTTTTTCTTTGTGGCTCCCATCAAAGACTGGGCACTGGGGTACCTAAACCTTCAGTTGGATGTAGCAGGTCCCCTCTTACGTTCTTAAAACTTAAAAGCAGAGCTTTTAAGAAGGGAACATTTGGCTCAGGAAGTCCCAGTTGCAGATGGTTTGATACTGGGAGAGAGCTCAGATAAAGTTTTATACACACTTTGCTCATTACTGTGTTCTCCCGGCCTATTTCTTTGTAGCCCCAGTCAAAGACTGGGCACTGGGGTACCTAAACCTTCAGTTGGATGTAGCAGGTCCCCTCTTACGTTCTTAAAACTTAAAAGCAGAGCTTTTAAGGATTTCCAAGCTCTACGGTGCTTTAGTACAGGCCTGGGGAAAAAAATACCTAAAAAACCTGAAAGCATCTAAAAAAATGGAGCTTAACTATTAGGAAAACAAATCAGAATGCCCAACTCCAATCAGATCCACTAATTTTTGGGATGACCCAGAGGTTTCAGCTCCATTTGCCTGGAGCAGAGCCTTTCTCTAAAGCATGGACAGATGCCACCACACTGTTCTTGGGACAGAAAGATGAGCCAGGTATTTCTGAAAGCTCTTTGCAGCAGCGTTTCTGCGTATAAAAATGTAAAACTCCAGAGTGTAACTAATGAAGCTGGTTAGGAATTTTTTGTAGACCTTTTTTGGACATTTTGTAGACATTTCCTATAAAATGTGAAGAACAATAACTGCTAACACGCTTGGGTACCAAAGAAGATTAGTAAGTTATTACATAAAAATGATCTCCAAAGCAAAAAATCAATGCATGTGAACCAGTAAAACACCACCTAAACAACAACAACAAAATAAATCACCTGTCTGAAATGTAGACAACATCCAAAAGCAATGGATAGACATTATATTAAATTGAAAAAAAAAAAGAGAGGAAAAAAAAAAAAAAAGAGGGGAAAACAA